AGGCCAGTTCAAACACGAAAAACATCTTTTATTTCTTTTATAAAATAAAAATAATGCGAAACAAAAAACGTTTTGTATTCTTCTAATGTGTACTCATGATTGATTTACAAATTCTCTTTGATTGATTGAATGATTTGATTGTTTGGGCTAAGACGTTTTGCATAGGCTAATGCAAACACAGCTCTAGACTAATCATGCAGCGCACGCGTTTCATTGTGTTTATTTTATGATGCTACATGCAGCAAGGTTATGTTGGTGTTATTTAAAGTAGCATTCGTATTAAATATATTAACCGCTGACCATATACCAAATATGGTTATATGAACAAAAACGTGCTATAAGTATTTCTAGTAAGAAAGTAAATGGTTTGAACCCGGGAGTATCGTTATATGTTTGTAAATGATGATCGTCCAGGTTAATGAAGTCCTGAGAAGGACTGTTTTTGATGTTGTTGACCGACGTTTCGACAACCTTAGCGGTAGTCATCTTCAGAGTCAAATGAGGAGTAAACGTCAGGTTAGCCGTATTTATTGTCTGGTTCTTACGTCATGTTCTTATGGTTCTTATGGTTCTCTGGTTCTTATGTCTGGTTCTTACAAACATATTTCTAGTAAGGTTGATTATTGTTGTGCTATCTAATGTAAAACTCTTTTTTTTCTTAAATAAAATAAACCTTCTGAACCATTCGCGATCCACCGACATATTCAACAGGTTATGGGCCCAGACAGCGTTAGCGAAGTTTGTTAAATAAAGAATAAGTTGGTATAATTTCTTCGATTAACAAAATGGCGGGCGAATGGAAAACGGCAACAATAGTTCCTTTGAATGGATCAAATTATGTAACCTGGAAAGTTCAGTGTCGAATGGCTTTGATAAAGGATGGGCTTTGGAGTATTGTCTCCGATGAAGAAACGTTTCCTGATGACAAAGAATCAGAAGCATATGCCAAATTTATGAGTCGAAGAGACAAAGCTCTTGCGATCATTGTTCTTTCGGTTGACCCATCACTTTTATATCTGCTAGGCGATCCAAATGATGCTGTGGCTGTTTGGAAGAAACTATCTGATCGCGTACTTGGGCGAACAAGCTTGCGTTGAGGCGACGATTGAATAATCTGACGCTAAACGATGGAAATTCGTTGTCATGTCATATTAAAGAAATGACGGAGATATTCAATGAGTTAGCAGTAATTGGAGCGCCGATGGACGATGAAGACAAAGTTGTTACATTACTTGCAAGTCTTCCAGAGAGCTACAATGTGCTTGTAACAGCACTAGAAGCAAGCAATGAAGTACCTGCAATGGAAGTTGTTCTTGAACGATTGCTGCACGAAGAGAGAAAGCAAAATAAATAGAGATAAGCATTCTAACACTTCCGAGAAAGTTATGATGATGTCAAAAGAGGACAATAAACCACTAGAAAAGAAGAAAGCGCCAAAATGTTATCATTGTGGAAAGATTGGTCATATTCGACGCTTTTGTAAGGAATATTCCAAGGAAAAGGAAAAGGAAAGAAAGCATGACAAACAAGGCAATCAGAAAACTTGGAAAGATAAATCTCGTCAAACTGAGAGTTTAGGTCTTGTTGTGCAAAGTCTTGCTGTTGGGAACAGGAATATTCCTGGTGAGACTTGGATAGTCGACTCAGGGGCTACCAGTCACATGTGCAATAACAAACATCTATTAGAAGACTTTCAAAGTATAGAAGATCATGTGCATGTAATGCTTGGAGATGGAAAATCCTAAGTGGAATCGGAATTGGTACTGTAACCTTAAACACAATTCTTCAAAATGGAAAGGTACAAGAATGTAAATTGCATAATGTACTGTATGTACCACAACTCAGCTACAACTTGATAAGTGTTGCAAAAGTCACTGATGCGGGAAATGCTATCAATTTTGATCATACGACATGTAAGATTTTTCGCAAAGATGGAACAGTGATTGGTATTGCAAAGAAAGCTGGAATTTTGTTTGTATTGGATTGCAAGTGCACGTTTGAACACGTAAAAGTCATGAATGAAGAAATTGGAACATCTGATGAGATGCTGTGGCATCGACGTCTTGGTCATCTTGGAGGTCACAGATTGAGACAAATGGTGAATGAAAATTTAGTGAAAGGATTAAATTTTGGCATCAAGAAGAATTTAGAATTCTGTGATGAATGTGCAAAAGGAAAGCTTCATCGTAATTCGTTTCCTCGTGGTGAAGCAAACAGAGCGTCTGATCCTCTTGGTCTAGTGCAGAGTGACGTCTGTGGGAAATTAAATGTAAAATCCCATGGTGGTGCAGAATATTTCTTGACGTTTACTGATGATAAAACTCGATATGTTTGGATTTATCCTTTGAAACAGAAAAGTGAAGTATTCAGCAAGTTTCAGGAATGGAAAGCTTCTGTCGAAAAGGCAAGTGGGTTTAAACTTAAAACCTTAAGAAGCGACAACGGCGGCGAATTCACGTCGAATGAATTCAAGAGCTACCTAAAATCAGAAGGAATCAAGCAAGAGCTCACCATACCAAAAACACCGGAGCAAATGGTGTAGCTGAACGTCTTAACCGAACGCTGATGGAGTCTGTTCGTACCATGTTGATACAAGCAAAGCTGCCGCAAAAATTTTGGGTTGAAGCACTTACTACAGCCGTGTATCTACATAATAAAAGCCCCACGAAAAGTCTATTGAAGATGACACCATTTGAAGCTTGGTCAGGTGTGAAACCAGACGTCAGTCATTTAAGAACATTTGGTTGTGTTGCCTATGTTCATGTACCAAAGGACGAGAGAACAAAGCTGGATTCAAAAGCTAAGAAGTGTGTTCTGCTGGGATATGGTTCAGAAACAAAAGGTTATCGTTTGTTTGATTCAGATTGTTCTAGAGTCATTTTTAGTCGTGACGTCAAATTTAATGAAAAGCAATATGGATTTGAGTAGGAGCCTGAGACAAACGAGAGTCCACCTCGACGTGTGATCTTACAGCTTTCTGATGATGACGAGAACAATGACGATGGTGAAAACAACGTAGTTAATGACGTACCACTGGTTCTCCCTGTAAGACAACGACGCCCACCGGACCGTTACGGAGAATGGGTTACCATTGTCGACGAAAATAATGCAGAACCAAAAAGCTTTGGTGATGCACTTGCTGACCGAAATGTCGATAAATGGAAAAGGGCTATGCAGGAAGAGATTGACTCGCTCAATGAATATGATGTTTGGGAACTGACAAAACTACCTGAAGGACGTAAGGCAGTTGGATGCAAATGGGTTTACAAGATCAAACGCAATTCAAATGGCGATGCTGAAAGATTCAAAGCTCGATTAGGGGCGCAAGGCTATACACAAAAATATGGAGAAGACTACGACGAAACGTTTTCTCCAGTAGTGCGATTCGAATCAATTAGAAGTGTAATTGCCTTGTCAGTTCAGAGAAAGTTGCAGTTGCATCAAATGGATATCACAGCAGCATTCCTGAACGGAGAGTTAAATGAAGACGTGTATATGAAGCAACCGCAAGGTTTTGAAGACAACAATAGAAAGGACTACGTGTACATCCAGAAGAATGGAAGCATTTGGTTGGGAGAAACTACCTACACTAAAACCATTTTAAACAAGTTTGGAATGGAGAATTGCAAACAAGTAGGAACACCTGTTGAATCGTGTTCGAAGCTTATGAAATGCACAGAGGACAATGAGATGTTTGATAAACACAAATATCAGTCAGCAATTGGTAGTTTACTCTATTTATCTTCGGCTAAACGCCCTGATATAACGTTTGAAGTAAGCAACGTCGCGAAATTCAGTTCCAATCCTACGCAAGAGCATTAGACAGCAGTTAAGAGAATTTTCCGATATCTGAAAGGAACATTCGATTATGGCTTACATTACACACCCGAAACAAGTTTGGACTGCGTTGGATTTTCTGATGCAGATTGGGGTGGAGATATTAACGATAGAAAATCAACGTCCGGATTTATTTTTCCAATGAACGGTGCTGCAGTCAGTTGGAAAAGCAAGAAACAAAGCTGTGTAGTATTATCGACTGCAGAAGCTGAATATATAGCGTTGGGATCAGCTGTTCAAGAAGCAATTTGGATTCGTCAATTACTTAAAGATCTCAATGTTGATATGAAAGATCCTTTGAAAATCTACGAAGATAATCAATCAGCTATCTCCATGGGAAAGAATCCTCAATTTCATGGAAGATGAAAACATATAGAAATAAAGTATCATTTTCTTCGAGACCATATAGAAAAGAATTCCGTGAACATTCAATATTGTGCTACAAACGAGATGTTAGCAGATTTGTTGACAAAAGGAATAAGTAAGGAACAGTTTGAAAAACTACTACAAAAGATTGGAATCGTATCAAAAGAACAATTAGATATTTAACTGCGAATGAGAAGGAGTGTTGGTGTTATTTAAAGTAGCATTCGTATTAAATATATTAACCGCTGACCATATACCAAATATGGTGATATAAACAAAAACGTGCTATAAGTATGGTTGATTATTGTTGTGCTATCTAATGTAAAACTCGTTTTTTTCTTAAATAAAATAAATCTTCTGAACCATTCGCGATCCACCGACATATTCAACAGGTTATCCATTCTGCCAGTTGGGTCGTGTTTAGTAAATTCACACTAGAATTCTAAAAGTTCACCCACACTTATACTCTTACTCACCGAGTGGACTTCAAAATCTTCTCTTAGTTGTTCAACAACGATATTTTCACTACATGATTGCTTGATTGATTTAAGCTTATTTATTAGTCATCCTGCCATCGCTATTGTCGTTGCCCTTGATTAGAGAGAGCGGGACTTTTATGTCGCCCTCATTGTGTGTGCGACTAAATCATAATCAAATTTTATTTATTTATATATTAATTGTTTTTACATTGAGTGACAAACTAAAATGTTTGAAAATAACACGAGTAAATTAGCGTGATGGCCACGCCATTGTTCACACAAACGATCGAGGGAACAGAATACTACAGGCAAACCTCATTAATATTCGAAGTTAGATGTACTTGCTATAAAGAAACATAGAAAATTTCTATTGTGATTACTCTTTTACATACACTCGGAGAGTTCAGGTGGGAGCACGTCAATAATGAAAAGTGCCTTGGAATTTTTCATAGTTCTATTCTTTGCATCATTAAGAACTGAAAAATGTATACATGACATAACTACACCACTATAATGTAGCTATAGGCAAAGAGTTAGGGTACACAAAGTCTTGCTTTATTATCGGTAATGCAGCTAAATTCTTGATTTTTTCTATTCGCTTTAATTCGTAGTTCTTACACATCCGTCTAACTCTCTCCAGACCTCTATTTACCGGCCACCGGATAAATGAAAACTTTGTTGCCATGGCTAAAAAATGAAAGAAGGAATCTCCGGTGAGTTTAATTGTAAGTCAGCCAATTGTAGTCAAATCTTTAAATAAATTCTGTAAATATAGCAGAATACTCACTATAACTGAGCATTCTACACTTACTAGTGAAAGCAGAATGCGATAATTGTAGACAGTTTCCAAGCCACAGCAGTTCTGGATGCAAGATGAATATATTATATGTTTCGACATTATCAGAATGTCATCTTCAGTGCAGAATGGTTAGTGTTAAGTAATATGATACGTAATATGATATGAATAAATTAATTACAATGATATGATATGAATAAATATGAATAAATATGATATGAATAAATTAATTACAATGAGTAGGTTTATGATTTAGTTACAAAATAATAAAATATTTACAAAAAGGAAAAGAAAAATAAGTATTAAGAACTTATAACAAAAAATATTATTATAAAGTAAATATAGTGTTGTAGTGGTGAACTTGGATATTTAAATCGGGATTAGTTTTATTAATGTGTAGAGCTTCCTTGATTTTGAGTGAGAAAGTGGATTGATCAGTGTCGATGATTTTAAAACAGGAAGGTGAGAATTTGTTTTTACATGAAGGAGAGGCTTGAAGATGTTTGTAGATAGTGGAGTTTTTGTCTGTGTGAGTATGTTCCTTTATCCTGGTAGATAATTGGCGAGAAGTTTCACCAATATAGCGGGAATTGAATGAAAATTCAATTTATGGTAGTTTATCAATTTTCATGTGCGGGATGTAATTCCCGCTATATTGGTGAAACTTCTCGCCAATTATCTACCAGGATAAAGGAACATACTCACACAGACAAAAACTCCACTATCTACAAACATCTTCAAGCCTCTCCTTCATGTAAAAACAAATTCTCACCTTCCTGTTTTAAAATCATCGACACTGATCAATCCACTTTCTCACTCAAAATCAAGGAAGCTCTACACATTAATAAAACTAATCCCGATTTAAATATCCAAGTTCACCACTACAACACTATATTTACTTTATAATAATATTTTTTGTTATAAGTTCTTAATACTTATTTTTCTTTTCCTTTTTGTAAATATTTTATAATTTTGTAACTAAATCATAAACCTACTCATTGTAATTAATTTATTCATATCATATTTATTCATATTTATTCATATCATATCATTGTAATTGTTTATTCATATCATATTACGTATCATATTACTTAACACTAACCATTCTGCACTGAAGATGGCATTCTGATAATGTCGAAACATGTTTGCTTTCAAAAAAATCGTCGTTTTTCTCAAGTGTTTTTTAAAATTGCTGCTAATTAGAAATTATGGTAATATATTATATACTAATAGTAAGGTATGTTTACTTGATTCACATTACCACAACGTCGTTTATTTTTAATATTTTTTAACTGTCTCGGTATTTTAAATCTCGATCTTTTGAACGAATTGCAAATCGGGAGTATTCGTGTTTACAAAGGAAGTGACTGAAATAGTTTAGTAGCTAACAGGCGCGGATCCAGCTCCTTAGCTGACCGATGCATTGCGAGCGCCGAAGGCGCGAGCCACCGCTAGGGGGGTCTGGGGGCATGCTCCCCAAGAAAATTTTTGAATTTTCATTATCCGAGAAGCATTTTCCAGCGATTGTATTATATTACATATGAATACAAGTATAAGTGCTGCATAAGTAATATGACATCGTGTATATTTTATGATGATTGTTCGTCGTTCTGAAATGAGTACACTATTTACATTTAAAACATGTGCTAGATTATAGAATACCCGTCCACTCACTATCTACTTATATAATATGCCTTGTTGAAGGCTTAAGCCTGTATGGGTGCCTTTAAAAATGGACGGGTATTCTATAATCGCTCCAAAACATGCAAGCATAAAGGTAAATTTACTTACTTTAAAGGTCTTAGTTCTCCACTTTGCCAATGAATTGTCAAGTGCTTAGGTATTAACATTTCACTTGACATATCTCTCCCATTTTTACCCTTTGAAAAGGGATTCCAAGGAGAGGATTTTGAAATAAAAGTAGCAGCTCTCGTTTCATAGGTTCGACGCACTCCATTAATATCAAATGACTTCTCTTCTCGAAGCAGAGTACACAGATCGTGTTTGATATTCTCGACAGCCATGACTTCGATCGATGATTGCGAGTTATATCAAGTGATCAAATAACAATGCATTCAACTTTGAAGTTCAAAGTTGAATGCATCGGTGCAATGTGCCCACAATCACAAAATTATGAAAAATGCATCGCTCAGCGGCAAAATCTACCGTGACGTGAGGCCCTAAAACAATGGTTTTGCTGATGTCACAGTAGATTTCACGCGGAAAAGGACTCGGGACCGATGCATCGACCGATGCATCGCAAATCTACTGTGACGTAGCGATGCCTCTTCCATCTACCGTGACGTGCTGGCAGAATACTATTAAATTACTTACTAATTATGTATTCACGACAAAATTTCGCTAAATTTTATCGACTTTTCTTTCGCTATTTGTGTCATGGAATACGACAAAATTATCGGAGAACACAAATGTTATTTCTAGAACAAATTTTAGCTTAAAACTGCTAAATCTATAAGTTAACTAAACAATATATCACTGTCAAATGTGCGTTTTAAATAATTCGAAAATAATATTTGCTATTTATTTCATTAAAATGCAAACTCGCAGATTTTAATATCTAAATATTTTGACCGATGCATTCGCATCGGTTGCATCGGTCTAGATCCGCCCCTGGTTGCTAACCAACGTATACAAACTTTGTAATTTAAAGTGCCCCTGTCAAAAAAATGAAACTCACACATATGAATCTTTGTAATATGTACATAATGAAAATGGAAATCAGAATTAAATTAAAACGATTTTTGCCGAGTTATTGCGGTATGAATTGCAAAATTTTCAAATTTTAACGGCAAAAGTTTTTTAAAATCGCGAAGTCGGAAACCTGGTAACTAATACGTCACAGTAGGAACCGGTTCGCATCTCAGCTTGTTTACAAATAGTAAAAATTATTGTACAAAGGTCGATATTTACAATCAAAACTTTGAAATTTAAACGATTTATCCAGCTGTGCAGACAAAATGCGGAAGCGCTAGTAAGCGAATTTGATATATTGTGTAACGTAGTGTTTTGCCAAATCTACTGATCGTAATACTCAATTCTTATAAATTTATCAATATGCTGCCCATGGAATATTTGTCGAACAAAGGAAAAGAAAATTTGAAAATTTTGAAGCCTGTCTGGGATGTTATAACAGATTATTTAGTGATACTTTTAGTAATGTTATCCGTTCTTGTTGCTGGTATGGAGGTAACATCAGGCAGTTTTGAATGTGTAGCAGTTGTCAATTGTCCCAAAGCGTCAAAACCAAATTTGAATGCATCTTGGCTTCTCGCAGATTTAAAATTTCCCGATACATGTAAAAAATTCTACCGGTCTCAAACTACAAGCTTTGGCAAAAGAACGGAAGTCGTTACAGATCACAAAGTTAATATTATATACAAAAGTTTTGTCAATTCAGAATGCAGTAAAACCGTGATTCCAAACTACCTGTCGTATTTGTGGATGATTTTGTTCGTTGAGGCGTTGTGGCTTTTGATTCTCGACAATTTCTGGTTGAAACTTCCTTTAACTTCCTCGGTAATTGAAACATTTGTTGATCTCGTGATGGCGTGTTACGATTCACCATGTACTAATTCCACAGTCACTTTAGCACTTTTTCAGCAAAGACACAATCGAACAAGCAACTATAGCAGAGTGTCAAACAACGATACTTCTGACTTGATCGATCATTACAACAATTTTGATTTCCTTCCAGACACTACCTCTACAAGTGCGTTGATGGGTTTGTATGAGAAAGTGCAAAAGCTAAAGAAAAACATATCGTCATCTCATTTCATTGAAAAAATTTCGAATCACTACACTATCAAAAGTGTGTTACAAATACTTTCAGTAATAACGTTTCTCGTTATTAATTATAATTACTCGAATGATTTAAAAGACAAGATGACGTGTATACTGCCTCAACACATTCCCATCCCTCACGATTATTTTTTGTGCTCCCATAACCTAGCTCCTGCCATGCATGTTATTGTTCATATTTATAACGGAGTTTTGGCAGTGAGTGCAGTGATATTCTTTTTCATAGTTTTTTGGACAGTCAAATTGCGTCGTAAAAACTATGAATATATTTTTTCAAACAAAATATCTCCAAAAATTGACGATCAGCTATCAGACATAGATCCGGTAGAGGAAGATCTGGGTTTTCTACTGCATCTATTGCATTACTACAACAAAATGTACGTCATAAGATTCGCTCGTTTTCTTTCTGAAGAGAACAAAAAGAAGATTGCGGTTGCCCATGCTTTAAACATGAGATTTCCAGTTGCATATCTCAGGGTTATGTTAGATAAAGAAGAAAAATTGTCTTTTAACAATCTTCCAGGAATTCCTCGTACAATTTTTGATCCTATGATTTCCGAAAACCTTTTGAACCTTGAATTTAGAAACTGTTATCTTGAAGTGAATGATTTTGATAACTTCCAGAAGCTCATCAGACTGAAATGTTTATTCATTGTGGAGTGTGGCCTCGATTTGATTCCAGAGAAAGTGTTTAGTATGGCATGGCTGGAGGAGCTCCATCTCAATGGAAACCTTATAAAGAAGATTACTGATGGCATTTCAGATTTGAAAAGTCTTTCTGTCCTCAAGGTTAGCGACAACAATCTCCAAGACATTGATTCCGGTTCGTTGTCAAAATTGGAAAATCTGAAGTCACTTGACATTAGTGACAATCCTAATCTGAAAATGGATGCTCTACGTGAGGTCCTTCAATGTAGAGAATTGCAAAACTTGGTTTGTCCGTCTCATCTCATGAACAAAGCTACACCAGACAAGCTGAATGATATCGATCTAGAAAGGTTACGCAATCTTACTAATTCAAACTAAGCCCGAAAACATTTTAAGTAAATTTAGAGGCTAATTGCAGGTTTAATCAACATTACTACGCAACTTATCGTTTAGAACTTAGTTTACCAGTTTTAAATTAATTCAAAGCGCACAATATTTGTATATGTTAATAGCATTCCTTAGCGACCGTGCAATTGATCCAATGAACGTTCGTTGAGCGAGTCACGTGATAGAAATTCAAGTTATGAAGGACTATTTACAGGAGGTGATGAAGGCGGTTAGCTTGCAGCACGTCAGCACCAAACTGTGTTAGCGCTGATGCAAACTACTACAGCCTTGATTATAATGGAAAATTCTAAAACACTAGTTAAGAAATAAAAGATGTTTACTGTGTTTGCACAGGCTTATGCAAACAGATAACAACCTTTGGGAAAATTTGAGAGCAGATCAGTGCAAGCCCGAGACCGAAGCACGAGTATTGCACATGCTCGCGTGTTCATTGTTAAGAGAATTAAGGTGCATTGGTATTGATTTTAATTTTATTACTTGCATCATTACAAACTGAACAATGAACATAACTGTAGCACTATAATTTAAATATAAACAAAAAATTTGAATGAACAAAGTCATTTATATCAATTTACTTAATAATAGGTAAGACAGCTGATTTTAGTTATAAAGCTTTCTTCTTGGTTTTCTCGAGTCGCTTTCGTAGTTCTGAAAGATCCGTCGAACTCTCCCCAGACCTCTCGTTGCTGGCTTCCATATCAGCACTTTGTGGTTTTGGCTACAAAATGGAAAAAGCGCATTCAACTCGGCTTAATTGTAAGTCAGCAGACAATAAAACTTAAGAGGTTCTGGTCAAATATTTCTATAAATCCTAAATAACAACTGTCTGATATCACCAAAGTCACACTGATCAAATTAAACTAAAAAAACTTATTCTGAGAGTATTCCATAACGTATTGTCAAAATTCAGTGGGAAGGGAGGGGGGGCAGGAGGAAAAAGTTTAATGAAAAAGATGAATGATTTCCTTTCAAAAGAACACGAAAACAAACTTTAACTGAGCATTCTACACTAGCTATTGAAGTCAGAATGAGGTTATTGTCGACAGTTTCCAAGCCTTCGGGTGTTTTTTTCACTGCAATGGATCTGGCTGTATTGCTTTTTCCAGCTGAAAGAAAAAAATAAGTATTATGAAATCATAAAAGTGTAAAAGATGTCAGGCTAGTTTTCGATGATAAAAGGAAAAAAGGAAAGGAGCAATGATATGTTTCCAGACGTTCATTATGAATGGGGCGCACATCGACTGATAAACACAAACCCTTGGAAAACAACAGCAATTCTTTGTGAAACAATAAGGAATACTTCATTTAAGCGCTAATTTTGTGAAAAAATTGTCGGCACCTTGCAGGTACATATAAAAGTTTGATCCTCTTGAATACGGCTATGTAATTATTAGACTATCCATGTGAACATGGCTAAGTAATCACGTGCCAATCCTGGCGAACATGGCTACGTAATCACCAGATTAACCATATAAGCATGGAGCGAACATAACAATGCACGTGACTTGTTTACCTCCTTCGAGCGAATATCTCCATATTTATTCTGCAATAAAGCAAGCCGATCACGAAAGTAGGATGGGTCTTCTAAATACAAAAGTTCGATCTTTGAGCAAAACATATGAAAGAAAAAAAGATTAAATGCGTAGTTTAGGAATAAATGACGCAAAGCATTACGGTATAGATGCAACTGAACGTTACAACAGAACAAACTCCAATGGCCAGTTAACACAAACAAATGCCATGTAAAGCTACACTTTTTTACTTATACTATGTAAATAATTTTGTGTCTATTCATTATAAATAAACATTAAATGCAATTTTTCTCTTTTTTAGAAATGAAGAACTTCGCTGAAAAATATTCATTGAGGGGGGAAAAATTCGACAGATTTAACAATGCTGTAAACGTGTGTGGAAAAAGAAATTTGAACTTTTGACTGTGAATGTTTCTTGAGATTCTGGAGGAAATTTTGGGGTTAAAACAGTCGACTGCCATTGCGTCCAAAGTTAGTAAAGAATCGAAAGTAAATTATAATGATTCACAAGTAAATATTACTTTAAATATATAAGAGAAATGTGGGGATGCATGACAACGACGACTTTCACATACATTTCGGAAATTATGTTATTTTGATCAAAGAATCTTTTATATGTTATTCAAATCACAATGACTTTTCATAAAATTGTCTTACTTACCCGTAGTTTATGCGGTGGTGTGTCGCACTTCGATATTTTCTAGAAAACATTGAAGTTTGATTAAATGCTATTACTCTCAATGTTTATACAACAAAATAAAATATTTATTAAATGTGACACAAACCACATATTTCTTGTTGTCGTTTATAAAACATTGCGGAAAAAACATAATCTTAATTAACAAAACATTGGAAAACTAAATCTAGTGAATGATTCATTGATGAAGTTCCATAATGTACGACCAAAGAAAAAACAGTGAGAAAAGTTAATCATTCGGTCTGTAAAAATTGACATAATTAAGTTAAATTCTCTGTCGCTTTGTTTTTGCACTTTCTATTCATGCTCCGATTCGCACGATGTGCAACATGAAACCTAAAGGCCCGTTTTCACTAAAGAAAATTGTGCACGAAACGTATAATTTTCCAGGTTGCGCATGCGCTAAGTAAGGTAGAAGACGTGACCAAATCTTCAAGTGGAAAAAAACAGAATGTTTATTCATGCACAAATGTCTGAATTTTGTCTATTTAGTCAGGTAAGAGCATGCACAACCTGGAAATATATACATTCCATAAAAAATTTCCTTAAGTGGAAACGGGCCTTGTAAAGGTTCAAAGGCAAATTTTCCATCTGTAATTCATGATTAGCTTAACGGCATATCAGCAAGCAAAACACCTTATAAAGGGCATTAGACCAGAACATATTAATTTTTAAACAAACTTTTCATTCAGCAGAAGTTTGATAACGACAGTGTACTTCCCAAAGCAGTTTAAGCGTGTTATCCACTAGCCACGTATCGTAACGTATCGTAGTAAAACATAACATCGCGCATGCGTTCTTGTGCCTATTGACCATCAAATTTATAAGCACGCATACACCATGTTACGTTTTGCTACGATACGTTACGATACGTGGCTAGTGGAAAACAGGCTTTATGCTTATGCATATCTCTTTTCATTCTCAAGATATGTCCGATTTCCAAATATTTGACCTCATTTTGCACAACGATTCGCTGCAAACTTTCAAAACATCCTTTAAATTAAAGGCAACATTTGGTTGAAATGATCAGGCAAATGTCTGCACCATTAATTCTTCACAATAAAGGAAACTCTGCTTGGTTGATATAGCATATCAGCAAATATACTTGACATTTCAAATTCTCTTAATGTAATGCAACGTCACAAGTTGCGTAAAGCATACATTACATAAAGTACAATAACTTGACAGTCAAAAGTGATATGAATAAACTGTCTTTAAAAGATACACTGTACTTTTCAAAGTTATGTTAATTGAAAACGTAGTCTGAATAGTCTGAATTTTTGAGTCATATGCCAAAGTAAAAGTTACAACGAACTTTTCATTTTTAGCGAAAGAAAATTAACTTATATCCGGGCTATAAAGTAAGTGGTTTGAACCCGGGAGTATCGTTACATGTTTGTAAATGTAGATCGTCCATGTTGGTATAGTCGAGAGAAGGACTGTTTTTGTTGTTGTTGACTGATGTTTCGACATTTGACTCTGAAGATGACTACCGCTTAGATTTCGAAACGTCAGTCAAGAACAACAAAATTAGTCTTTCTCAGGACTATACCAACCTGGACGATCTACATTTACAAACATCCCGGCTATCCCACAAGTCGTTCATTTGTGGGTGAAATGATTTTTGTTGGGAGAATAGTTTACCTGTGTTATCAATCTTGCGTTCGTCTTCGATAGTTTTGAGACCTCGAGCGATATATTTTTGAAAGAAATCCGACGTCTGCTCGAGAAAAGGCTCTATGTCCACATCTTTATGCTTTAGTCGAAAATTGTAAAGAGCCACGAGACCCTATAAGAATCAAAACTTCTTCATTTAAAAAAATCAACAACCGACAGGTCTCAAGTACATTATAAGAATGACCAGTACATAATCAGTGGAGAAGTCAGCCCGATGATATAGTCCAGGTACTTAAATTTTTACTTAAAGATTGTTAGAACACAGAGAAATACCAGACGTCAATATAAATTTTTACTTAAAGCTTGTTAGAACACAGAGAACACATTGGTCTGGTATTTCTCTTTAAAGACCTCGTGCTCGATTAATAAGGGTTTAGTATATATAAAGAGTTCACCACAAAATTATGTGTTATTTCATTTGTAAAAACTAGACACATCCAAATCCTATAGTACCTCTTTCGTAGTCTCCTTGGTCCCAATCTTCTTTAAAATATCCCCAAGTGAGTCGTGCATATCCTGACTAAGCTTGAGTGTTTTCATCTTCGGAGTTATCGGCTTTTAAGAAGAAAAACAAACTAAATGAATAAATTTGTGGGCAATGAATGAATGAATGAATGAATGAATGAATGAATGAAAAATGAATGAAAAATGAATGAATGAATGAATGAATGAATGAATGAATGAATGAATGAATAAATGAATGAATGAATGAATGAATGAATGAATGAATGAATGAATGAATGAATGAATGAATGAATGAACAATTTTATTTCAACACGCTAACCATTGTCAACAAGTGATTTGTTTTCCACATGGGGCGTGCATGGCAACATTTACAAATGATAAAAAACTGTGCTCTGTATTCTAAAATAGCTCGAATTAGAGCAGTAAGATTAGCTACTTCACAAACATTTGAGCTGTATAGACAGCATATAGAATTTTTATATTTAATAAGTGAAGTACACGCCTTTCAAAATCTTTCAGAGTGCTTTCTAAACTTAACTAGCAAGCAGTCGAGAGCTTAAAAATGTGGTTAAACTTTAGGTGGGATGATAGGATGGAAATCGGGTCTTCAAGAGTTTTTCATACAAAATCATCGTAAAAATGCAGTTCAGAAATTTAAACAACTTAACTATGGTCAGATATAGGAGACGTTTAAAATGAAACTCCGAATAAAAAAGTCTCAAAAAATTGAAAATCTAGACAAACACGCTCGCCGGAGGAATTTCAAAGGCCACAAAACCATGCAATACGAAGTTCGCATGGATATGTGTAATGAAATGAAATGTACCGCCTTTTAACAAGTCAATCACCTAAAGGTATATAGTTTCCCAATACCTTTTAAGTGGCGTTTTTTAGAAAAGGGAGCTGAAAAGAGACTGGGGGCTAGTTAAGTTCTCACGCAAAATTGCTTGCGCGTACTATTTCACTCAACGAATGTTTTACTATTACATTTTATTTATCAAAATACAGCCAATCCAGTTCGTGCTTAAGTGCATTTTGAAAAAAGTAACACGTGACGTAATTTGTATGTTTTCAAACAGAGCATGTGACTATTTTGACATTCACATTTGCAAGTTTTAAACAAATTAACGCTTACACCAAAGAAAAAAAGCATAATTAACAATCGTATTAGTCGTGAGTTCATTGTGAGATTGACTTCAATGTTTATTCTGGTTTTGGTACATTTTAAAAGGGGGAATAATAGAGGGGGAGGGGTGGGGTGATAATTGAAACTAGGCTGGAGGCCAAATATTCATTAATATTCAGTGAAAACCACCTAACTAACATGAATGGTAAATCAGACACCAGCACTAAACACTAATTATTCGCTTTTTAAATAAATTATTAAATGAAGTATAGAATCAACCGTACTTTAAATCATTGATAAACCTTGATGATATAGTTAGATAATTATTGCGACTAAAGTTTTGGTTTTTATCTTTGAGAGAGATCGAAGAATTATCAATCAACATTGACATACGTTCAACAAGAAGAAAGACGTAAACTATACATGACCTAACGTCGACATGACACTTAAAGAATGTGTGTCAACCAAGATGCATTGCGCGCTAATCACTGCGTGACTGTCACTTTGTGGGTCGAGAAAATGGTGAATTATGTTATTGTTGTCCATGCAACTTAGACAAACGATGATAATTAATGTAAAATAGAATTTCTAATTAATGTTTTTTTTGATTACATTTTTTCTAAAATATAGAATTATTCACAGATAAACGAATTCTCTATCAAATTTATATGATCTAAAATCCAAACGATAAAATTACGTCACTTATAAAGTATTATTTTAGCTATATGACTGCAGGACCAGCTACTCCTGAAAATTTTCGTTATCCTCATTTTTACAAACTAAGAAACAAAAACGGCAATCAATCGATGAAACTGAACAAAATTCATTACCAAAATCAAGATTAAAGTAAATGGTTTGAGCCCGGTAGTATCGTAACATGTTTGTAAATGTCGCTAGTCCAGGTCAAACAGTATGGGACATACAGCTGCATGGATTTGGAATCTAACAACATTATAGACACACAACTTGTTCAGGTAACAATTCTTCAACAACTGTACATAAAACATGATTAGAATACTTACATAATTATGTTAAACAGTCCAATGAAGTGTCCAACTTTGGAGCAATGGAACTTGAGGGATGAAAAAGATGTATGGCAAAGTTTGATGAAAGTGGGATGAAGGTGAAGTCAATGACCACAGACAGACATGCTCAAATCAATTCCTACATGTCAAAACTAAGACCAAAAAATCGAGCACTACTTTGATGTATGGCATGTAGCAAAATTTATAGATCATCATAACAAACCAACCTTTTACACATTTTATCAATAATCAAAATCCAACAGGAATCAAAAAGAAAATTTTGGCATCATCAAAAAAAGTGGTTGCAAATTATTGTCAGATTGGGCCCAATCAATTTCCAACCATGTATACTGGTGTGCTGCTTCTAGCAATGGTGATGAAGAACTTGCGAAGGCAAAGTGGTTGTCAGTTCTCAACCATATATGTGACATCAACGAGGGACATAGTGATGTATTCCCAAAATGTGAACATGATATGTTAGAGCCTAGAATGTGGATAAAAAAAGGTATTGTAAGCGAATAAATTTCAAAGTAACATCAACATTTTTTTTTTTGTTAGCTAACTTCTGATCTTAGGTTCAAAACCTTATGTTGAACTGTCTTCGATTGTTGAGTCCAAGTATCTCATGAGAGATATTGGAAAACTCAGTTATCAGAAGCAGACTTCATACATCGAAGGTTTCCACCGAGTGGTGATTCTTTTTGCACCAAAACGTACCCATTTTTTTATACAGATCAATGGAAGCAAGGTAATATAATTATGACTTGTGTATGATTACTTAAAAAAGTCATCATTGCAAAAGCAATAAGTTGCAGTAATTGTAAACATAAACTTAACATTCGTTCGTAGATTGTATATTGCTGCTCTTCATTTCAATGAGAATGGAAATAAAGCTCAGAAAACGAAGAATGATGAGCAAATAGAAGAGGCAATGATTTGGAGAGTGGCTTACTCAAAGTCAAAAGAAAGACAAGGGGTCATCAAACCAGTGAAAGTTGACAGCATTTATGGTTAGCACAGAAAAATAAACTTACCTTTTCTCAAAGTGCAATGCAAAGCCAACATAAATAATGATTTGCTTTTCAAGATATGTTAAGGACTTGATGAAAGAAGTTTTGTACTGCAGATGCATTAATCCAACGCTGTCCAAAGCTCTTGATGTCGTTGGAGTGAAAGAAATACCTGTCCCATTGACTCACCACAAATCAAAAATCAGCAAAGCTGAAGCCATTAAGCAACATAAATCTCGCTTTAATAAATAAAATGCAACTAACCATTCAACATTTCCAGTTCTGTGAATGTATTCATCTTCGCTTTCCGATGACGAAGAATTGTCATCATTTTGACCACCTTACGCGTTGGCCAAAGGCTCAAACATGTAAGGTTGTACCTCATTGTTATTGATGACAATATTATAATCGGCTTCTTCTTGAGAAGAATCCATTAATTTTTGATAAATAAAAAACAGTAATAGCAAACTACCGAAAGCCGTGCAAGCACTGCATGCAAGTCGTAGAACGATAAAAGAACGATGCTTGTTTATGTCAACTTATACGTCACTCTTTCCCAGTTCCCAGACTTAAACAATCTCACTGCGTTTTAGCAATGGTCATCGAATATCGTGTTTTTACCGATTATAACCCTAAATATCTTTTGAAATATTTTGCGGACGACTTTGAAACTTGGTACGTCTTATTTTCACGCTATAGGCATTAAAATGAAATAAATTGTCTTCTAGCTTGCATGTGTCCTTTAACATATAGCTTATGAGAAGTACCTCAATTTAATAAAGACAGATATTTCAGTTAACACTACACAAACTATCTGGCTTATTTTTGTATCTTGCTGTTTGTTGAAGCATTGTGGCATATAATTGTTGAGAATTTCTGGTTGAAACTTCCTTTAACTTCGCTTATAACTGAAACATTTGTCGATCTCGTGATGGCGTGTCACGTTTCATCTTGTATTTATTTTGCAGTTACTTTTACACTATTTCAGTAACTCCAATCAAAACCCGTGGTATGTCACTGACTCGTACACTTACCCAACCCAATTTTTTCCTCGCGATTATTTTCTATGCTCTCGTATCGTTGCCAGTGGGCCTGTGGAAAGGCAGTCAAAAACTAAGGAGGCAATACAGTTTTATATATAATATATGTAAAACATGATATTTAGGGGGTGGCGAGAATTTTAAACAACAGGGTTCCCAGTTTATTTTACATGATATCTGATAAGGAAAAACAAGATGTGTTATTGTTTCATCACTCTATGAATTTTGAGGGTGCAAAAAATTGTAAATATACTCATGCTAATGCAATATCCAGGGACGCCGGAACGGCAAAAGGGCAGGAGGGGCAAGCCTTTGTGGAAGGGCACATTAGTGAAATATACTAAAACTAATCTCATATTGATAAACAGCAAAGAGATGTGCTACATGCAATACACTGTACAGAAGCACATGTCCGCAGTGTTGGTCGATAAATATTAACGATAATATAACTATCAAACGATGTAACGTCACTAATTTACAATTTGTAATGTATTGTAGTAGCTTTATCAAGATTGAACTGATGAATATTAGATTCAAAATCCGTTCTACCTCTAATCGCATTACCTTGGCGTAAGAGTGTTTTTAATGTTTGAAGATGTGAAATTAACCTTTTCCGTATTAACTGCTGCGTTTCAAGAGCAAGCGAACTGCAGGCTATGCTAGACAATTGCCCTTTGTCTGATGTGGCACAAGCTTCTTTATGAGCGTAACTGTTTTCATTTTCGTTGAATTTCTCACGGCCTTTTTTTCAGTTATCAAATCCAACTTCATAACTGCCAAACACTCCCTTTATCTTAGAGTGAGTAGAACAAATTTCGCAAAAAGCCTTATTTTTTTCTCGATTGTACACTAGCCACTCATAATTTCGTAACCACTGACCTTGGAAATATCGACCATGATTCACACTACTTTCCTTGTCTTCACTTGTAAAGTCTTTCTCGTGTTTTACCCATGTCGTTTTCATGCATATCTTTTCTGTTTCACCAATCAGACTTTTCGGTTTGGACCATTTTTGTGACTCACAGTCTGAGGCTTTTTCAGTGTTGACAGTTATTACAGTGTCAATTCCGCTTGTTGAAGCAGAATCAAAATCATGGCCTGTGTTTCCTTTTGCAAACAGCGATGTTATATTAGATTGACCAGGTTTAGCAGCTGCTTTCGCTAATGCTTTTGCTGAATCTTTCTTACATCTTTCTGCTTTTGGCAAAAGATATCCCTTTCAAAGTCATCAGTGTTTAGGTGACTGAGCCATTTATGCCAGCAGATGTTTACTATTAAAAATATCTTTGCTATACGTCATGTTCCTGGCACTATTTTGGATAATAATGAAATGAATTTGCAAACGTATTGTGATTTTTAGTTGTTAACATTTAAAAAATGACGTTTCACGGTTGTCGAGGAATCCGCTCCTCAGCTGGTTCACTAACACTCTTCGTTTTGAACCTTTTATTTTACAAGCCAAACAATCTACAAGAACATCACTGGAGTATTCTTACGCTATCTATTAGAGTTAATTATTTACATGTTATTTATAGTATCAGTAATTACATAAGTCGAGCTTTCCTTTACGTCATTAGCAGTACTCACTCTTTCATTGCGTTTCAAGTTCTCACTCGTTGCAACAAAAAAGAAGAATTAACTAAACAAACAAAGAACTTACAAAACGTACTTAAAACAAAGAAATGTTAAAGTGAAAGTAACATAGCTACGACAATTTTATTGCTAAGCTCAAAAGAATGCAATATCCCACAACGGTTATGTAGTCTTTATCTTGGATTAAAAACAATGAATTTTCAACCTGTAGGACACTTTTGCCCCCCCCCTGCCCATCTCCAGAAAAGGCAAGGGGGGCCGTTGCCCGTTGACATATATGTATGTCAGTTTTTTCATTGTTCTATAGCACTATCATAGTACTAATTATTAACGTTTTGTCCGTCAACATGAAACATGAATCAAAAATTTGATGTCATGCATGTATTGAAGAAGTTTCAAAGCGATAGAAATAAGAAATGGAGTCAGATTTGATTTGGTTCTTTTACTTGTTATTCACACAGTTCTGCAAAATTGACTACAAAGAAAAGTATGTCGTTCAAGTATGAAATGATTGTAAATGGCGTGATTACAAATATATCAATATGGAATCTGACAACTTTGCCATCTGAGAAGAATGAATGATTAGAAATTGTCATGTGATTTACATCATTTAGCCATACTGAAGAATGTAAATCATCTTTCAGTGCAAGCTGCACCGTTAAATATCAGAAGCTGTATTTGAGCCTAAAGTACAAACATATATAATGCCTACACATATAACATAATCATTCCCGATGATGGCTAAATAGAGTCAAAACGTTCAATCAAAATTCTAAAATTGTTTGGAGTTACTGTTGTAGGTTTCTTTTTCAACAAAAATACTCACTAGTTATTGAAAACATAAGCAATTAGATTCATATACTTTACTGACACGTCTGTAATTATCACTCCGACAAAACAAGTCTTGCTAATTTAAATGTCAGGTGTGAATAAATTGGACATTGTGGTTACTCGTGTCTAAAGAGAAAATAGTTACTAAATAACGCATGGAAATTTTACAATTTAAAAAATATTAATCTTGCTAGGCAGGAAAAATAGTGACGTTAACAAAGACAATTAAATGCGTATTTAGCGTAGCGTAAAGTGACACGTCAAACATTCAGAACTATCTAAAAATTTGACATTAAAACTAATCAGTTTTATCAAAATGATGTCCATGGAGTATTTCTGGAAAGGTCGAAAGGAAAAATATAAGATTCTAAAGCCTTTCTGCGATATTATAACAGATTATTTAGTGCTACTTTTGGCAATGTTATCTGTTGCTGTTGCTGGTATGGAGATAACATCTGGAAGTTTTGAATGTGTAGCGGTTGTTGACTGTCCTCATGTAACAAAGTCAAATTTGAATGTAACTTGGCTTCAAGCACACCTAAAATTTCCCGATGTATGCGCAAACTTCTACCGTTCTCAAGATTTAAACTTTGTGGCAAGAACGGAAGTCGTTACAGATCATAAAGTCAACAATATATACAAAAGTTTTGTCAATTCAGAATGCAGTAAAAGCGCAATTCCAAACTTTTTGTCATATTTGTGGTTCATATTGTTCGTCGAAGCATTGTGGCTATTGGTTCTTAACGATTTCTGGTAGAAGCTTCCTTTAACTTCATTGGTAATTAAAACATTTGTTGATCTCGTGATGGCGTGTTACGATTCGCCATGTTCAAATTTTGCCGTTACACGTGCACTGTTCCAGCAAAAGTCCAATCAAAACCAAAGCTACGTCTGCCTCGCCATGGAAGATAATTCCGACTTGGCCGATCAAACTTACAATTTTGATTTCCTTCCAGACACTACCTCCACAAGTGCAATGATGTGTTTGTATGAAAAAGTGGAAAAATTAAAAGTAAACATCTCAACATCTCATCCCAATATAAATATTTCAAATATCTACACTATCAAAAGTTTGTTATAACCTATTTCAGCAATAATATTTCTCATTGTTAATTTTTGTTTCTTGAAAGATTTAAAAGCGGACACAATGATGTGTACACTTACCCAACATATTCCCATCCAACACGATTATTTCTTATGCTCACATGGTTTAGCTCCAGCTCTGTTTTGTATTGTTTGCATTTATAACTTTGATTTATTACTGAATTTAGTAATATTTTTTTCAACAGCTGTTTGGAATTTCCGTTTGCGTAATAAAACATATGAATATGATTTTAAGAAAAAAATACCGGAGCAAGTTGCTGAGAAGTTATCTGATATAGATTCAGTAAAGGGAGATCTAGGTTTTCTCCTACATTATTTGCATTCGTACAACAAAATGTTCGTCATAATGTTCGCACATTTGCTTTCCAAAAAATACAAGAAGAAATTTGTGCCACATGCATTGAAAATGAAATTTCCTGTTGCAGATTTAAAAACCAGATTAGAAGAAGAAAAACAATTATCTTTTACTAAACTTGGAGGAATTCCTCCAACGATTTTCTATCAGAGTATTTGCGATAAAATTTTGAAACTCAAATTTACTGAGTGTCATCTTGAACACGATGATTTTAAGGACTTTAACAAGCTTACGAAACTTACGTCTTTATCCATTGTAACGTGTGGTCTGGAATGTATTCCGAGAGGAGTGCTTGCTTTGAAAAAGCTTGAAGAACTTCGTCTTGATGGAAACTGCATAAAGAAGATTACTGCTGACATTGCAGATTTGGAAAATCTATGCATCTTATCTTTTAAAGAAAACAAACTTAAGAAAATTGATCCTGGCTCATTAAGCAAAATAAAAAGTCTCCGCTCGCTTGAAACTTACGGCAATCCTGATTTGGAACATCAAGCTCTACGTGATGAAGTTGGCAAACTTGGGTTGTCATACTCAATTGATGGAAAGTATTACAGGTAAGATGAAAACGGCTGAACAAAACAAAATACTCACTATGCAAGGCTGCAAAGAAAATTATTTCTTACAATTTTAAATGTTGTACACTTTAAGGGTGAGAAATAAGAAATGAAGAAAAGGAAAGAAGAAAAGGATGCGTAAATGTGTATTGGGGGAAAAATGAAATTGATTACCTGTTCACGATATTTTATTCAATTCGGGTGATGTTCTTCATAATTTCCCTTCGCTTTTAAAGAAAATTCATGAAACATTTTTGATAACCAATTATTCTTTAAGCTCGCTCTTCTTTTGCATAACATGTTCATTATACTTAATGTAATTAACTGTAAATAAAAAATAAGTTGAATTGAACGTTGAATTCCAGTCTGATATATTACAGACTTTAGCTACTTTGTTTAATCAACGTAAGATGGCAATTTTGTAAAAATCGTTGCAGTATTTGCAATGCTGACGAAGCATGTTTAAAGTGCTTGACTCGAAATTTTGCTATATGAGTTTTACTTTTATTGAGTAGATATTGCAAAATGACGATGGTCTTTCTGTACCAGTTAATGCATATGAGTTTTCACCCATGAGGTATTAATGTTTTTGTTTGTCCAATTTATCTAACTTGTGACGTCACAGATTGCATAATGAACAAGAAATATTAGGTATGTTTGGTGATATTTCACTTCAACATTACAGAGGGTCTTTCGTCATGAAGTTTTGATCGTGTAAAATGCTAACTACTAGTATCAACATAAAGTTGTCAGGAAACTTAACAGTGTTTGAAACATTGCGACAACTCGTTATGCATGGTGACGTCACTAGTTAGAGATTTAAAAAGACATGCATAAATTCTTTTAGATAGTACGCTGTCAGTTAAAAAGTTTTCAGCTCAACGCAAACATAATTCAACTTGTAAAAATTTTGTTTCATAGGCACTTTGTAAATGCCAATAGAAAACGGAAATTGCTAAATTGCAATATTGTTTGCATGTATTTATTACACCTTTAAATGAAATTTTACGTAGAAGGAAAGAAACGTGTTGGAATTTTCTGTTTAATGTAAATATGAAAATAAAATAGCAGTGAGGATTTGGGACATTTACGAGCCTCAAAACTAGAGTAGGACAGTCAGCTCAACATTTTGTGCTCGATTGCTTAGAATGGAAGTATTTTCTTACATGGAAGTGATATCGTTTTGTAAAATGAACTATTCCAATGAAGTATTTTAATTTTTACTAAAACAGGCCATTTCTGTGAAAATTATTCTTCCTATATGTAATTTAGAAATGACTGATTTACAAATGTAATGCTAACGATTTTTCTAATCTTTTTCATAAAGTATGCATGCACGATATCATTATGCCAATATATGCAATGCTAGAGATATTTTACCTACATTACTCTGGTACAGTGCAGCAATTTAAAACTGTAGTGCTGACTATTGACATAGAAACACATCACGTAAAAAAATATTTTTTCGTTTGTCATAATACAAAGTAAGTTTTTCTAAATAATTAGTTTGTTTCGGATACAGTAAATGAGCTTCACAAACTTAACTTCCTTCTCATTTATCATCTTTTTCATAGCTAAAATATAAAATGTCGCATGATCATGCAGAGATTTTCGAGACATTCCTGTTTTCCACATTCATTAAAAGTTCAGATATAAATCAGATGACAGTCACAGCACAACAACGTCTGTTTTGCGATCTCATTGATGATTGCTCTTGTTCTCTATGCTCAACACTAAATCGTGGTAAATGAGTGTAACGTGATTATCTCGAGTGGTGTGGTATTGTGCATTGCATAGCTTTTCGTAAAGACAAATCCTGAAATTAACAAACATTCTATGTTTCTCGAGTTTCTGAACGAATAACGTGTGGCACAGTTCGTTAACTTATACGAGATTTTTGTATCCGTGACGTACAAATTTCGTGATATATATACAAAGCATTGTCGTATATGATGATATAAATCAGTTACAGCAGCAACAACGTTTATTTGACCATTCCATTGATTGACTGTATCGATTGTCCATGTTCAACATCAAATCGTTGGTAAATGTATGTAACATGGTTATCTCGAGTGCAGTGGCATTAGAGGTTGCATGGTTTTTCGTGCATGGAGGCCAAACCCTGAGATTAAGGAACATTCTACGTTTCTCAAGTTTTTCTGAACAAATATCGAGCAGCGCAGTTTGCAACCCAGTACGCAGGTATCGAGTGTCTTATACAACAATTTCCATCAAAGTGCTATTTTTTTCGCCAGTGTTGAGTACCCAAAAAAAATAATGACCAGAAACAATATATTTAATGTGTCGTTTTTCTCAGCTGCTTTGTAGATTGTTGAAGCATATCTGGGATGTTATAGGCGATTATTTAGTAATACATTTAGGATAACGTTCTATTTGATGGGATGGAGGTAACATCTGTATGGTAGTTATGAATGGGTAGCAGATGTTAACTGTCGCAGCAAATCAAAACCAAACTCAAATACATCTTCATCAAAGGCAAATTTAGAATGCGACACATGTAAAAAATTTGACAAATTTAAAACTCGACACATGTAAAAAATCTACCAGTCCCAAACACTGACATGTATACTAATTAACTGGACGTACAATCTCATCCAAATTATTATATTTTATTTAGCGCAACATGTTGTCAAAAACATGGATGCCGCTATACCATATATGGCAAATTTTGGACGAAAATGTCAGCGGAGTTGCACAGGCTCATGCTTAGGAAACTTTTTCTCCCCTCCTGATTTCAATCAACACTATATTTTATAGTATTCGTGCGACGATTAGAAATTTCGTAAGTATTTAATATTCCAAACGCAAACTCTTTTTAAAAATTCAACAATAAAACATGCTGAAAACGTGTGTGAGAAACGGTTGCTGAAGAAGTGCAAGAAAAGAAAACATTTCAATGGTTTCATGAAATTGCCGGTAAGCAAGATAATTGTTTTCATCGTTAGAGATCAGTCTGCAGTCTTCAATATTTATTATTTTGTTTCATTTATTTTATTTCATTTATTTGGTGAAACTTTTTTTTACCACAACGTCATGCTTTAGTTCTTGTTCTCTGCTATGTAATTCTTAGTATAGTATGATAAATATATAGAAAATCAATGTAAATTCATCGTACTTTTTATTCTGAAGATGAATAATAAAAACCTTTTAATCTCTCTTTAATCTTTAGTTGATGTTTGTTTTGGCCCAATCCCTTCTATTTATTACATAAATACATGTAAGACGCTGTGAAACTCTTCTAGATGACATATCTTGCATCAAACAAATCAACAAAACCCTCCCATTATGAATTGAGTTTAGGCTGTTTAGTCCCAAGAAACTGATTATGGTCAGTTCATATTATATTTCAGAAAATATGATGGGAAGTTAAGAATAGAGTTGTGTTGAAATTGAACTTGCCTACAATATTTAGCAACACTGTTTTATACCACAAAAATATATTGAAATCAACTCCTAGCTTGTTTTGCACGAATTGGCAGATTACAAACAATAAAGATATTAAATATGAGAAAAGGGTTGCTCGATGCTGCTTGTTTCTCGATGATCCTTGGTGTTTCTGTAAATAAAGTATGCATTGTAATAGTAAAGAATGTTTATAAATCAAAACCAATGTAAAAAAATTGCTTTGGATAGTATTGAGTAAAATTTTTATTCAAGAAAATCTTGTTACTTTGTGCATGAAAAGTTTAGTATAGCAATGGCTCATCTGACAAACATTCACCCTTAGTATAATTCTAGGTGATCCAGGATTCATATTGGATGCATTGGCTACAATGAAGTTGAAGGCAAAAGAAGCAAAAAGGGATGGAAATACTTGCATGTTTCTGATGAAGATTTCAAAAGAAATCATAAATAATTCAAATTACTAAGTGTGAAGGTGAACCTGTACAGACAAATAACCCTGGCAAAATCTCTTTGTTGATTTTTATTCTCTTGGATAATTTTTCAAGTGGAAGTTCTTCGTTATAAATTTCCTTTTGGCATCCATGTTTTTGACAACAGTTCCCAGACCCAGACCCTTTGTATATCCAGTTAATTTAATAAAAATCAATGGTCCCAAACTGCAAGTTTTGTCAAACTTACGTTACAGGTCGCTACAGATTATTTATCATTATTATATGGCAAGCGTCAATTCCGGCAAATTTGCGTGCTTTGAATTGTTCAAATATATTTTTTCTGTTCCATTATTTTCCGTGATGGACCACGGTCCAAAATGCGTAATTTTATAAAACAAATAAATGTAAACAAACTTCGAAAAGCAAACAGCAAACGTTTTGTAAAACAAAAAACGGCGAAATGATCTTGTATTTATGTCAGTATAACAAAAAACATTTGGAAAGTGAGTTTTAAAATCGAAACAACACAATTTCAAACGATTTATTTTTACTGATGATACTTCAGGAGTGAATGCAAAACAGCAAGAACGAGAGAAGATAGAAAGCTTTATTCAGGTCAAACAATGCCATATAATGAACCTTTTAATAGCCTCGCTTTCTCGGTTTTTACTTTGAAATATCGGACCTCTGTCTTTACGTACAAATCTCGCCCTACGGGCTCGGTCTGTACAAAAATACCTCGGTCCGTTATTTCTCAGTAAAGATCTCGAGCTCAGTTATTAAGAGCTTATTATTAAGTCGCAAAGCAAACGTTTTTGTCAGTTCAGAATGCACCAAAAGTGCAATTCCAAACTATCTTGCTTCTTTGTCGTTATTCTTGTTCGTTTAATCATTATGGCTTTTAATTCTTGACAGTATATATATCAAAATTTTTCTAACTTCGTCCTTTCTTGAAACATTTGTTAATCTCGTGATTGTGTGTTACAATCTAGCATCTTTTAGTTCTGCTGTTGCTCTATAGCTCACACTTATCCAGCAAATACCCTACAAAAACCAGGATGCATGTCAGAAGCCCAATCAATAACACTTCTGAGAAGACCCATCAAGATGAGTAGTTGAGCGTTAGTGCATTTAAGCTATAGACATTTCAGTAGATCTTGGGAGTGGGGATACGACATCAAACTTCAACAAAAACACGCCAATACGCTCATCAGTTACAGCATTTATCTTTTGGCAAAAATTAACAATGGAAATTAAGAGCATAATTTTTTATCTTTTGATCCACCAAGCATATGATTATAACAAACTACATTGGGACGGAATTCCAGAGACCTTACTAGCTAATTAAAAAATAAAAGATGTTTACTGTGTTTGCACTGGCCTATGCAAACTGAGGAGACCTTTGGGAGAATTCGAGAGCAGATTAGTACAAGCATGAAACCGAAGGTCGAGGTTTGAACCGGCTTGAGAGTTCTCACAAACGTCTCTGAGGTTTGCATAGGCCAGTTCAAACACGAAAAACGTCTTTTATTTCTTTTATAAAATAACAATAGTGCGAAACAAAAAACGTTTTGTATTCTTCTAATGTGTACTCATGATTGACTTACAAATTTATCTTTGATTGATTGAATGATTAGATTGTTTGGGCTCAGACGTTTTGCATAAGCTAATGCAAACACAGCTCTAGACTAATCATGCAGTGCACGCGTTTCATTGTGTTTATTTTATGATGCTACATGCAGCAAGGTTATCCATTCTGCCAGTTGGGTCGTGTTCGGTAAATTCACACTAGAATTCTAAAAGTTCACCCACACTTATACTCTTACTCACCCAGTGGACTTCAAAATCTTCTCTTAGTTGTTCAACTTAGTTGTTTGATTGATTTAAATTATTTATTATTCATACTGCCATCGCTATTGTCGTTGCCCTAGATTAGAGAGAGCGGGACTTTTATGTTACCCTCATTGAGTGTGCGACTAGATCATTATCATTTTTTATTTATTTATATTATATTAATTGTTTTTACAGTGAGTGACAAAATAAAATGTTTGAAAATAACACGAGTAAATGAACGTGCTGGCCACGCCATTGTTCACACAAGCGATCGAGGGAACTGAATACTACAGGCAAACATCATTATATTCGAAGTTAGATGTACTTGCTATAAAGAAAAGTAGAAAATTTCTACTGTGACTATTCTTGTTCATACACTTGGAGAGTTCAAGCGGGAACACGTAAATGATGAAAAGTGCCTTGGAATTGTTCATAATTCTATTCTTTGCATCATCAAAAATTAAACAATGAATACATGACATAACTACACCACTATAATGTAGTTATGTAGTTATGTCGTTCAAGTATACAAGGTCTTGATTTATTATAGGTAATGCAGCTAAATTCTTCATTTTTTCTAGTCGTTTTAATTCGCAGTTCTTACACATCCGTGTAACTCTCTCCAGACCTCTCGTTACAGGCCACCGGATGAATTAAAACTTAGTTGCCATGGCTAAAAAATGAAAGAAGCAATCTCCAGTGAGTTTAATTGTAAGTCAACCAATTGTAGTAAAATCTTTAAGTATATCCTGTAAATATAGCAGAATACTCACCTTAACTGGGCATTTTTTACTTACCACAGAAAGTAGAATGCGATGATTGTAGACAGTTTCCAAGGCACAGGAGTTCTGGTTGCAAGATGAATATATTATATATTAAACGTAAGGTATGTTTACTTGGCTCACTTTACCACAACGTCGTTTATTTTTAATATTTTTAACTGTCTCGGTATTTTAAATATCGATCTTTTGAACGAATTGCAAATCGGGAATATTCGTGTTTACAAAGGAAGTGACTTAAATGGTTTAAATGAAGATATGATCTTCGCACTTTGCTGGACAATTTAAGCAATTGTCTCATGAACCTGAAAAATTCAAGTGACTCAACGGGACTCGAACCCATGACGTCTGCGATGCCGGTGCAGTGCTCTGACCAACTGAATTATGAAGTGACACAGTGGAGAGCAGGTTAATTTTGTTGGCCTCATATTTTCTCGTGAAAGGAATGTCATATGAAAGAATGTTATATGCAGTGCGATGTTTTGAAATTAAATGAAGATATGACACATGAGACAATTGCTTAAATTGTCCAGCAAAGAGCGAAGATCATATCTTCTTTTAATTTCAAAACACCGCACTGCATAAAACATTCTTTCATATTAAATAGTTTAGTTGCTAACCAACGTAAACAAACTTTGTAATTTAAACGATTTATCCTGCTGTGCAGACAAAATGCGGAAGCGCTAGTTAGTGAATTTGATATAACGTAGTGTTTTGCAAAATCTATTGATCGTAATACTCAGTTCTTAAAAGTTATTCAAGATGATGCCAATGGAATATTTCTGGAAGAAAGGAAAACAAACTTTTAAGATTTTGAAGCCTTGGTGGGATGTTATAACAGATTATTTAGTGATACTTTTAGTAATGTTATCCGTTCTTGTTGCTGGTATGGAGGTAACATCAGGCAGTTTGGAATGTGTAGCAGTTGTCGATTGCCCCAGTGCATCAAAACCAAACTTGAATGCGTCTTGGCCACTTGTGAATTTAAAATTTCCCGATACATGTAAAAAATTCTACGAGTCTCAAAATACAAGCTTTGTTGAAAGAACGGAAGTCGTTACAGATCACGAAGTCAATATTATATACAAAAGTTTTGTCAATTCAGAATGCAGTAAAAGCGCGATTCAAGACTTTTTGGCTTATTTGTGGATCGTATTGTTCGCTGAAGCATTATGGCTTTTTATTCTCGACAATTTCTGGTTGAAACTTCCTTTAACTTCGTCGTTAATTGAAACATTTGTTGATCTCGTGAAGGAGTGTTACGACTCACCTTGTACTAATTCAGGAGTTACTCACGCAGTAATCAAGCAAAATTTCAAACAAACGAAGAAATACGTTAGACTCCCAAGTAACGAAACTTCCGATTTTACAGATCAATGCAATTCTGCCAATTTCCTTCCAGAAAATACGAGTGCGTTACTGGGCTTGTATGAGAAAGTGCAAACACTTAAGGAAGACATATCAACATCTCATTGCATTACAAAAGTTTCGAATCTCTATACATTCAAAAGTGTGCTTCAACTCATTTCAGTAATAATATTTCTCGTCATTAATATTTATTTCTTGAAACATATAAAAGACACAATGACGTGTACACTGACTCAGCACATTCCCATCCCTCACGATTATTTTCTATGTTCCCATAACCTTGCTCCGGCCATGCATTGTATTGTTTATGTTTATGTTGTGTTTTTGGCATTGAGTGGATTGGTATTCCTTAGAATAGTTTTTTGGACATTTGTGTTGCTTTGTAAGAAATGCAAATATGATTTTTCCATTGAAATACGTCAACGAAGTGGTAATCAATTATCACATATACATCCAGAAGATGGAGATCTTGGTTTTCTTCTTCATTTATTGCACGCCTACAATAAAATGTACGTCATTAGGCTCGCTCATTTTCTTTCCGAAGTGAGCACAAAGGAGACTTTGGCTGATGCATTTCCTGTTGCAGTTTTAGAAACCACTTTAGACCAAGAAGGAAAATTGTCTTTTTCTCGTCTTCCAGGAATTCCACCCACAATTTTTGAGCAATTAATTCCCGAAAAACTCATTACACTCAATTTCAGCAATTGTAATCTTGAAACAGATGATTTTGATAACTTCCAGAAGCTCATTAGACTGAAATGTTTATTCATTCTGGAGTGTGGCCTCGATTTGATTCCAGAGAAACTGTTTAGTATGGCATGGCTAGAGGAGCTCCATCTCAATGGAAACCTCATAAAGAAGATTACTGATGGCATTTCAAAATTGAGAAGTCTTTCTGTCCTCAATGTTAGCCACAACAAACTCCAAGACGTTGATCCCGACTCGGTGTCAAAATTGGAAAATCTGAAGTCACTTGACATTAGTAAAAATCCTAATTTGAAAATGGATGCTCTACGTGAGGTCCTTGAATGTAAAGAATTGCAAAACTTGGTTTGTCCGTCTCATCTCATGGACAGAGCTACACGAGACAAGCCGAATGATATCGATCTAGAAAGGTTACGCAATCTTACTCATTCAAACTAAGCCCGAAAACATTTCTAAGTTAATTTAGAGGCTAATTTGCAGGTTTAATCAACATTACTACGCAACTTATCGTTTAGAACTTAGTTTACCAGTTTTTAATTAATTCAAAGCACACAATTTATGTATATGTTAATAGCATTGTTTAGCGACCGTGCAGTTGATCCAATGAACGTTCCTTGAGCGAGTCACATGATAGAAAGTCAAGTTTTGAACGACTATTTACTGGAAATGATGAAGGCAATTGATTTGTAGCACGCCAGCACCAAATTGTGTTGGCGCTGATGCAAACTACTACAGACTTGATTATAATGAAAATTCTTAAACACTAGTTAAGAAATAAAAGATTTTTACTGTGTTTCCACCGGCTTATGCAAATCGAGGAGACTTTGGGATAACTCGAGAGCAGATCAGTGCAAACCAGAGACCGAAGCACGAAGTTGCACATGCTCGAGAGTTCTCACAAACGTCTCCGAGGTTTGCATAGGTCAACTCAAACACGAAAAATTTTTTTATTTCTTTTATAAAATAACAATAATGCAAAAAAGACAAACATTTTAATTTTTCCTCTAAAATGTATTCATGATCGATTTGCAAATTCTCTTTGACTGATAGATTGTTTTGATTGGTTGAGCTCAGATGTGTTTTTCACTGGCTGATGCAAACTCAGCTCTAGGCCAATCTGCGCACGCGTTTCATTGTGTTTATTTTATAATATGTTATTGAAAATGAAAGGTGAACATCGCCGTGGACTGTTTTTTGTTGTGGGCAACAGAATTCTCAATTGTCATTATTACAATGTAAATTTTTTGAGATAAAATTTCGGTATTGTCTGTAGACTGCAGCGTAACATAATCATAGTGTTGTCAATTGCCTAGTTCATGCTGCAAGTTTTTCCTTGTGCTCAACAAAACTTTTGACTGATTTTGAAGAAATGGTCTTAGTCTCTTTTATCAAAAGTTATTCCGCCAATGGTTGACGAGATTGATGAAGACGTACTAATGTGTCTGACGTCATACTGCTAGTTTGGTAAAGATATGATCAAAATGATTATTCAGTTATACATTAAATATTCATCGTTTTTACAACCAAAATATTCGTATAACCTTTGTACATGAACGTGCTGTCCACGCCATTGTCTACAGAAGCGAGGAAAACGACTACTACAGGCAAGCGTCATTAATACTTGAATAGTTTACGATACAAAATTTTGCCATGGTATTTTCTTATTTCATTATAAAAGCAATATGAAAATAATTAATAAATTCTTTAATAGAATTGTGTTATCTTATTTTTTTTGAGATTTGTACTTTTGCTTAAATATGAAACGAATCGTTATGACATTACATTGCATGATTCACATAAGGAGAAACTAGTTTTTGTCAAGAGTTTACAATTGTTCATCTACACATTAATTAACTGTTCTATTGATTTATAAAACGTTCTAACGATATTGAAAATTGGTAATCTTTGTAATGTCTTTATGCTATGTCTAGAAAAAGACCAATGAATCAATTATAATGGCTAAGGTTTTTGAAAATTTTTATCCCATATAAATTCGTGATAAAATTTTGAGTCGTAAATACTTTAACAGGAGTGGGAGGCGGAGCAAAGTGTACCACTAACTATAGAGAAACATAGAAATATAACACCACAGAATAATGTGTATCAAGAATTTTTGTTCATGGGCTCAGGAATTCTGGAAGAACACGTGGAATTCGTCGAAAGTGCATTGGTATTGATTTTAATTTTATCATTACAAACTGAACAATGAACATAACTAAAGCACTATAATTTAAATATAAACAAAAAATTTGAATGAACAAAGTCATTTATATCAATTTACTTAATAATAGGTAAGACAGCTGATATTAGTTATAAAGCTTTTTTCTTGATTTTCTCGAGTCGCTTTCGTAGTTCTGAAAGATCCGTCGAACTCTCCCCAGACCTCTCGTTGCCGGCTTCCATATCAGCACTTTGTGGTTTTGGCTACAAAATGGAAAAAGCGCATTCAAGTCGGTTTAATTGTAAGTCAGCAGACAAAAACAACTTAAGAGGTTCTGGTGAAATATTTCTATAAATCCTAAATAACAACTGTCTGATATCACCAAAGTCACGCTGATCAAATTGAACTAAAAAAACTTATTCTGAGAGTATTCCATAACGTATTGTCAAAATTCAGGAGGGGGGCTGGAGGAAAAAGTTAAATGAAAATGATGAATGATTTCCATTTCAACAGAACACGAAAATAAACTTTAACTGAGCATTCTACACTAACTATTGAAGTCAGAATGAGGTTATTGTCGACAGTTTCCAAGCTTTCGGGTGTTTTTTTCACTGCAATTGGATCTGGCTGTATTGTTTTTTCTGGCTGAAAGAAAAAAAATAATATGAAATCATAAAAAGGCAAAAGATGTCGGGCTAGTTTTCGATGATATAAGGAAAAAAGGAGAGGAGCAACGATATGTTTCCAGACGTTCATTGTGAATGACGGCGCACATCGACTGATAAACAAACTCTTGGAAAATAACAGCAATTCTTTGTGAAACAATAAGGAATACTTCATTTAAGCGCTAATTTTGTGAAAAAATTGTCGGCACCTTGCAGGTACATATAAAAGTTTGATCCTCTTGAATACGGCTATGTAATTATTAGACTATCAATGTGAACATGGCTAAGTAATCACGTGCTAACCCAGGCAAACATGGGTACGTAATCACTTGTTTACCTCCTTTGCGCGAATATCTCCATATTTTTTCTGCAATAAAGCAAGCCGATCACGAAAGTAGGATGGGTCTTCTAAATACAAAAGGTCGATCTTTGAACAAAACATATGAAACAAAAAAAGATTAAATGCGTAGTTTAGGAATAATTGACGCAAAGCATTACGGTATAGATGCAACTGAACGATGCAACAGAAGAAACCCCAATGGCCAGTTTACACAAGCAAATGCCATGCAAAGCTACACTTTTTTACTTATACTATGTAAATAACTTCGTGTTTATTCATTATAAAGAAACATTAAATGCAATTTTTCTCTTTTTTAGAAACGAAGAACTTCGCTGAAAAATATGCATTGAGGGAGAAAAATTCGACAATTTTAACAATGCTATAAACGTGTGTGGAAAAAGAAATTTGAGCTTTTGACCGTGAATGTTTCTTGAGATTCGGGAGAAAAATTTTGGGGTTAAAACTGTCGACTGCAATTGCGTCCAAAGTTAGTGAAGAATCGAAAGTAAATTATAATGATTCACGAGCAAATATTTCTTTAAATATATAAGAGAAATGTGGGATGCATGATAACGACAACTTTCCCATAAATTTCGGAATTTATGTTATTTTGATCAAAGAATCTTTTATATGTTATTCAAATCACAATGGCTTTTTATGAAATTGTCTTACTTACCCGTAGTTGATGCGGCGGTTTGTCGCACTTCGATATTTTCTAGAAAACATTGAAATTTGATTAAACGCTATTATTCTCAATGTTTATACAACAAAATAAAATATTTATTAAATGTGACACAAACCACATATTTCGTGTTTTCGTTTTTAAAACATTACCAAAAAACATAATCTAATTAACAAAACAATGGAAAACTAAATCTACTGAATGATTTATTTTCGAAGTTCGACAATGTATGACCAAAGAAAAAACTGTGAGAAAAGTTAATCATTCGGTTTGTAAAAATTGACATATTTAAGTTGCATTCTCTGTCGCTTTGTTTTTGAACTTTGTATTCACGCTCCGACTTGCACGCTGTACAACATGGAACCTAAAGGCCCGTTTTCACTAAAGAAAATTTTCCACGAAACGTATAATTTTCAGGTGGCGCATGCGCTAAGTAATGTGATCAAAAATTTGTTTATTCATGTACAAATTTCTGAATTTTGTCTATTTAGTCAGGCAAGAGTATGCACAACCTGGAAATACGTTCCATGGAATATTTTCTTAAGTGGAAACGGGCCATGTAAAGGTTCAAAGGCAAACTTTCCATCTGTAATTCACGATTAGCTTAACGGCGCATCAGCAAGCAAAACACCTTATAAAGGGCATTTGACCAGAACATACTAATTTTTAAATAATCTTTTCATTCAACAGAAGTTTGAAAACGACAGTGTACTTCCCAAAGCAGTTTAAGCCTGTTTTCAACTAGCCACGTATCATAACGTATCGTAGCAAAACGTAACAGGGCGCATGCGTTCTTTTGCCAATTGACCAACAAATTCCTAAGCACGCATGCGCCATGTTACGTTTTGCTACGATACGTTACGATACGTGGCTAGTGGAAAACAGGCTTTATGCTTATGCATATCTCTTTTCTCTCTCACGATTATGTCCGATTTACAAAACTTTTGACGTCATTTTGCACAACGATTCGCTGCAAACTTTCAAAACATCCTTTAAATTCAAGGCAACTTTTGGTTGAAATGATCAGACATGTGTCTGCACCATTAATTCCTCACAATAGAGGAAACTCTGCTTGGCTGAAGTAACATATTGGCAAATATACACGCAATTTCAAATTCTCTTAATGTAATGCAACGTCATAAGTTGTGTAAAGCATACATTACATAAAGTACAATAACTTGACATTGAAAAGTGATATATATGAAAAAACTGTCTTTAAAAGATACACTGTACTTTTAAAAGTTATGTTAATTGAAAATGTAGTCTGAATAGGACAATTTTCGAGTCATATGTCAAAGTAGAAGTTACAACGAACTTTTCATTTTTAGCGAAAGAAAATTAACTTATATCCCGGCTATCGCATAATTCGTTTGTTTGTGGGTGAAATATTTTTTGATGGGAGAATAGTTTACCTGTGTTATCAATCTTGCGTTCATCTTTGATAGTTTTGAGACCTCGAGCGATATATTTTTGAAAGAAATCCGACGTTTGCTCGAGAAAAGGTTATATGTCCACATCTCTATGCTTTAGTCGAAAATTGTAAAGAGCCACGAGACCCTATAAGAATCAAAACTTCTTCATTTAAAAAAATCAACAACCGATAGGTCTCAAGTACATTATAAGAATGACCAGTATATAATCAGTGGAGAAGTCAGCCCGATGATATAGTCCAGGTACTTAAATTTTTACTTAAAGATTGTTAGAACACAGAGAAATACCAGACTTTAATATAAAAAAATTGGTCTGGTATTTCTTTTTAAAGACCTCGTGCTCGATTAAAAAGGATTTAGTATATATAAAGAGTTCGCAACAAAATTATGTGTTATTTCATTTATAAAAACTAGGCGCATCTTATAGTACCTCTTTCGTAGTCTCCTTGGTCCCAATCTTCTTAAAAATATCACCAAGAGAGTCGTGTATATCCTGACTAAGCTTGCGTGTGTTTATCTTCCGAGTTATTGGCTTTTAAGAAGAAAAACATACAAAATGAATAAAACTATAGCAACATGTAAAAATGACAAAAAACTGTGCTTTGTATTCAAAAATCGCTTGAGTTAGAGTAGTAAGATTAGCTACTTCACAAACAATTGAGCTGTATAGACAACATATAGAATTTTTATATTTAATAATGAAGTAAACGCCATTCAAATTCTTTCAGAGTGCTATCTAAACTTAACTAGCAAGCAGTCGAGAGGTTAAAAAATGTGGTTAAACTTTAGGTGAGATGGTTGGATGGAAATCGGGTCTTCAAGATCATACAAAATCATCGTAAAAATGCAGTTCAGAAATTTAAACAACTTAACTATGGTCAGATATAGGAGACGTTTCAAATCAAACTCCGAATAAAAAGCCTCAAAAGTTTGAAAATCCAGACAAACACGCTCGCCGGAGGAATTTCAAATACCACAAAATCATGCAATACGAAGTTCTCATGGAAAGGTGTAATAACATTAAATGTACCGTATTCCCACAAACAACTACCTAAAAGTAAATATTTTCTCAATACCTTTCAAGTGGCAGATTTTTAGAAAAGGGAGCTGAAAAGAAACTGGGGGCTGATTAAGCTTTCACGAAAAATTGCTTGCGTACTAATTCTTTCAACGAATGTTTACTATTAATTTTATTTATCAAAATACAGCCAATCCAGTTCGTGCTTAAGTGCATTTTGTGAACAGTAACATGTGACGCAATTTGTCTGATATTTTGACTCTGAGCATGTGACTATTTTAACATTCACATTTGCAAGTTTTAAACAAATTTACGCTTACACCAACGAAAAAAGCATAATTAACAATCGTATTTGTCGGGAGTTCATCGTGAGATTGACTTCACAGTTAATTTTGGTTTCAGTACATTTTAAAAGGGGGGATAATAGAGGGGGAGGGGAGGGGTGGGGTGGTAATTAAAACGAGGCTGGAGGTCAAATATTCATTAATATTCATTTAAAACCTACCTAAGTAACATGAATGGTAAATCAGACACCAACGCTAAACTCTAATTATTCGCTTTTTACATAAATTATTAAGTGGAGTATCGAAAACACCGTACTTTCAATCATTGATAAACCTTGATGATATAGTTAGATAATTATTGCGACTAAAGTTTTTGTTTTTATCTTAGAGAGAGATCGAAGAATTATCAATAAACATCGACATAAGTTCAACAAGAAGAAAGACGTAAACTATACATGACCTAACGTCGACATGACATTTACAGAATGTGTGTCAACCAAGATGCATTGCACGCTAATCAATGCGTGACTGTCACTTTGTGGGTCGAGAAAATGGCGAATTATGTTATTGTTGTCTATAAAACTTAGACAAACGATGATAATTAATGTAAAATAGAGTTTCAAATCAATGTTTTTTTTTTATAGCATTTCATACAAAATATGGAATTATTCACAGCACTGGCATATAAATTAATCAATGTTTTTTGCCCACATTTCAGATAGCTAAATTAGACGTCGTAGTGACGAAATTGAATTCAGTATGCAGCAAGCTCAAAAGTAACGACGTAAATATAAACAAAGGCGCGCGATGCATCTTGGTTGACACACATTTTTAAAATCTAACCAAGGATCACTTACCGTTTGCGGCGTGGGTTCACGTGACGATTTTTCATCTTGTACTGACGTCTGTTTCTTGACCTGTTGTTTGGGTGGACTGGATTTTAACGTCGCACGTATGTACAGGACAATCTCACTTTGCTCCGAATTCTTTATCAAATTTATATGATCTAAAATCGAAAAGATAAAATTACGTCACTTATAAAGTATTATTTTAGCTATATGACCGCAGGACCAGCTAGTCCTGAAAATTTTCGGTATCCGCATTTTTGCAAACTAAGAAACAAAAACGGCAATCAATGGATGAAACTGAAAAAAATTCATTACCAAAATCAAGATTAAAGTAAATGGTTTGAGCCCGAGAGTGTCGTAACATATACAGCTGCATGGATTTGGAATCTAACAACATTTTAGACACACAACTTGTTCAGGTAACAATTCTTCAACAACTGTACATAAAACATGATTAGAATACTCACATAGTGAGTGAAGAACTTGTCAAGGCAAAGTGGTTGTCAGTTCTCAATCATATATGTGACATCCATGAGGGACATAGTGATGTATTCCCAAAATGTGATCATGATATGTTAGAGCCTAGAATATGGATAAAAAAGGTATTGTATGCGAATGAATTTTAAAGTAATATCAACATTTTTTTTTGTTAACTAACTTCTGATCTTAGGTTCAAAAGCTTATGTTGAGCTGTCTTCGATTGTTGAGTCCAAGTATCTCATGAGAGATATTAGAAAACTCAGTTATCAGAAGCATACTTCATCCATCGAAGGTTTCCACCGAGTGGTGATTCTTCTTGCACCAAAACATACCCATTTTTTCTACAGATCAATGGAAGCAACGTAATATAATTATGACTTGTGTATGATTACTTAAAAAAGTCATCATTGCAAAAGCAATAAGTTGCAATAGTTGTAAACATAAACTTAACATTCATTTGTAGATTGCTTATTGCCGCTCTTCATTTCAATGAGAATGGATATAAAGCTCAGAAAACAAAGAATGATGGGCAAACAGAAGAGGCATTGATTTGGAGAGTGGCTTATTCAGGCCCCGTCCACACTAATCCGTATTCAAACAAAAACGGAGCTCTTTTGCTCCGTTTTTAGAAAAATTTGCGTCCACACTAATCGTTTTCTTATCGTTTTTGCCCGTCCACACTACTACGCGTTATATTTCAAAAACGCTGTTGTACCCAAAGTGCGCATGACCAAATAAACTTCGCGCATGAGCATTTCATTTTAACGAATCGGCGAAAGGCGAGAATAATTGGCGCCATTCTTAAATTCTCATTGTTGTGGCTTACAATTATTCAATATCTACATTTTTAAGTATGCCAAGGACAGGTGAAAATCTGTCGAAATCTAAAAAGGGTTGTTTTACGTGGACTGATGATGAAGTCGAGCTACTTCTAAAAGTAACAAATGATTACAAAGTGCAGAAAAGCACCGAG